TAGTCAAAGATATATTCATTTTAACCTTTCCATCACACAATGGTAAGTTTACTCTTGCAATGCTATGAAATTAGCATATTTACAAAGCTCCATTGTAAGTATTTATTAGCTTTAAAATCTAGGTATATACTAGATCAACACAGTGCCAGCTTAAGCCAGTAAAATTGCACAGGCTATTCAATTTTATTCCCCTGTGGACACTCAAGCATTAAGCCAGAAATATACCATGCCTCAAACTCTTTTCATGTATTAAGGTTCCAGATTCTGTTTGAAGCACAGATTCCAAACAGAATGCATTACAGTATCATAAGATACTGTACAAGTTAAAAGGAAATTAGTCAAGGTTATGGCTTGCACTAGAATACAAGCTACAAGTGAACTAAGTTCAGGACATAGCTTTCAAAGTACTGTCAAAAAACATAAGTTCCTCCCTGCCACCACAAGGGAAGATAAGAAGGCTCTTGAATAGACATGCTTCCCCTATAATTGAAAAAAGCTATTTAAAAATACTTCACAACTGTTCTAGAGCAACTGAGATGATTTACTTTAAGTGAAAAATAAAAAGTTTGTCCTCTGAATCTTTAAGTTCCCAGAAGTAAAAGTATGAAATGACCCAGAAAAAAAGGCATTGCACAAGCTGCCCTACTGAAGTACAGATGAACCTCAAAAAAATAAAAATTATCCCAAAGTAGAAGCAAGTAAGCTGCAATTGCCAGTGCATGTCCATTTTTACAAATGCACTGTCTGTAGATTCTAACTCAAATCTCCCATCCTGCTTCACATTCTGTTTCTATGTGAAACACCAAAGAGATTAATAGCAGTAGTTCATAACAGTGCCAGGAAACTTCATCATAGTCTAATTAAACTGTGTCCATAATAAAATATATACCTGAAAAGAAGTTAGGAAGTCTTGGAGTCACAGTTGCAAATAAGTTGGAGTTATGTAACCTCAGAGATGACTGATGAGCCTCTCTCATGACACAGGACCTACAGTTATTCTTACTCTTTCTAAAATTCAAACATGATTCTCTACTGTCATTCTACAACCAGAACAGAAGGACTGGTGACAGCAATAGGCTTAAGTTACTTTTCAACAAGCATTGTACCATCCAGAAGTACAACTACTGAGGACAAACTTCAACATCTCCTTCAAGTGCTCCAACATATTGAAAAAAATTACTCCAAATCAGCCAGTTGTTTTCTAATCCCCACCACAGGCAAACATTTCAGCTTTTTATAAGGAGGTAGCTCTTGGCACACTCTTAATTCCAATACCCTATGGCTTCTTTATTAATGTTGACAATTCTACCTATCAGTCAATAACAGAAGTATTACAGTGTTCCTCCACTGCCATTGGTTATACATTTGGCAACTTTTTCCTATTAAGGAGCATTTACCAAAGAACAATAATAGCATGAAGGAATGAACAAACAACTTTTTCCCCCATTTGCCAGCACCTCAAACATTTACTAAGGCCTTGAGAAATTCATATGAAGCAAGTGTGCTACACGGTAAGTGGATTACAGAGCTAGAAGGCATTGTCTTTTACTGTAGTTTAAGTCATCACCTTTAATTTGCATCCTAAAAGCCATAAAACCTCATAGTTAATTTTACTGAATAATTAGATTTCATCTGTAAACACACAGATGTGATGAATGGCAGCTCCTCCAATGGCATCATCTAGTGACTAATCGCTAGGAAAGATGGAACCTGGCTAATACTTGATCTGAAAAACAAGTTCTGCAAGGCCATCTCAACACTCTAAAGTTGTAGCACAGAAGCTAGTTTTCAACTCTTCTAAACCAAAACTTTATTGTTCCACTACATCTGTTAGAGCTTTAGGTTCAGTGGGTACTGACCCATAAAATCCAGATTAATTATAAACCAACTTAATTTGCTCTCGTGAAACACAAGAGTATTTTTTCTTTATCCTGTCTTAAAAAAAAACAAAACTGCTCTGCAGTTGTTATAAGCATGGTGGCTTTAACACAGTAGTTTGCAGGCACACAAAAAAATTAAAAAGGCCTAACCAGCCTATAAAATATTTGTGCTATTCAATTTTTTTAGACATATTAGAATGAACCAGCCTCAAACAGCAGTTTTGTCATTTTGTTTAATAAAAATTACTGACAGTCCTTCTTGTACTCAAAATAGTGAGATAATTTCTACCTTGTTTCCTACTACAGCTAGGAATTGCAGCACATCCAGTTACTGTATTACAAGATACCACATACATTTATGCAACTCCACATGCTGTACAGAAAGCAGGTATTAGCCATGCAACAACATTCTACACAAATTGTTTTCTATTCTGGAAATACAGGTTTCATAATACTTGACACAGAAACAGCCAGAAATTACAAGTTCCACCTGGAATCTTCTGAGAAGCTGAAATACAGCACATCAGGTACTAACAATAATCTCTTTTCTAAAGCAGCTAGAAAATAACCTGACAAATACAGGCTTTAAGTTAGATACACCCAGAAATCTACACACAGGTACCAGGTCACTGCAGATAATCACCCACTATGTTCACTCACGTAAAAAGCCTTCATTAGTCTTCAATACCTTACGTTATAATCTTTTCTAGAGGTGTGCTAGCAAGTTAAATAGATATATTTTATCTTCCTCAATGATTGTTTCTGTAATTTGGAGGGTAAGTCAAATAATTAGACCCAAAACCACCACACAGCATTAGCTCACAAAACTTCAAAATTCCAGTCGTATTTTGTGTGCTTTTATCTAAAGTCTGAAGCTACAGACTTGAATGTTTTCACAAAGCTTAATACACAACATTGAATTTCTTGCTGATAAGGACTCTTGTTTTTCCTGCCTCTCAAAAAGAACTGCAGCTTGAGTCTTTAGCACCCAGTTTCCTTTCTGTGTTCTAAACCAAAGGAAAGGCTCTTATTCAGAAAATCGAAGTAACAACATCAGGAATGCCACAAGACTTGTGATAGCCACACTTACATCAGCTTCCAAAACCAACATCAGAAGCTTCCTTACATTAAAGGCCCTAAACTTGAACTAGATTAGTTACCTGGAATATATATAAAGTTAGATAACAGGACCAAGAGCTGGATAAGCAGCACAAACAACATTTATGCCTTCTTAAGGGGACAGAAATTCTTATGGTACAAGATGCTTTTATGACTGGCAACCTACACAGACTACTAAAAAGAGAAAAATTTTAAATGACATGAAGTTTATTATTCAGCTCAGCAACCAGATCACAACAGCAAACCAGATCTGAAGAAACTTAGAAGTGCTGGAAATATTCAAGACACTTGGTTTAGAACTCTTAAGTCACGTAAAAAAAGATAGACGTGTATTCTAAAAGTCTTCTACTACTCAACCGCCATTGAAATCTGCTATGTAAGAAGTTCTTCCACCTTTACCTTTCTTTTTATTTATGAAGAAAATAAATTTGAGCTAACAGTAGGACAACCGTAACAGTAATCACCTCCTGATCCTAGCAGCTGTAGCATGACTTTTCAAATCCAACTAAGAAATAACAGGCTCTGCTCAAAACTCCCTAGATATTTCTTTTCTAACACAAGACCTGTATGCTAAGATTAGATTCTGAACAGGCTGAAATCAGAAAAAGTTCACAGAAACACATACTGAGAGACAATGTCCTTCAAGGACTTTCCAAGCAACACAAACAGCATTCAAATCCTTCTAGGTTTTAAGCAGAACCTCCTGTTCAGTTCTCCTCATACCACCCCAGTCATCTCAGTGCAGTTCCAGGCAGGAATGCAGCCATCCATATCCCGCATATCTTTGGTGAAGGCTGCCAGCTCCTGTAGCATCAAATCTCCAACATCTCCCTTCACCCTTCTACAGCGGTGTCATTCTTTAGGAGCAACAACAATGAGCTTCAAAGCCTCATATTTTTCCAGGAAACACATTTTCACTTCTAGTCAGCCCAATAAAATTGAAGGGTTACGAACATTAATCCAATAGCTCCATTTGAAGGACAAACCTCAAGACTGTATATTTGGTACACTAATGTTTCTCCTCCATCCAGTTACTATTACTGCTTCCTAAGCTTCAGACTTGCTAAGGCTCTAACAAATCTTTTTACACAAAACCAAAACTATGGACAAGAAACTCTGAAGCTGAACAGCAGAAATTTAGGGCAAGCTAAACTTCAGGTTTCCCCCACAATCAAGTTAAACCATTAAGTTTTGGGAAGACGGCTGCACTGGGATCCACAGAACAAGAACATGTTGTTTATTTGCTTGTCTTCAGAGCCATCCTAATTACCCAAAGTCCTAACCCAACCAGGTCAAGATACTGTTTTAGCAGGGAAGTAACACAGTACATGCTCAGGTACTGGAGTTTTTTCTACTGGTTTATATCGGTGTTTTATTCCCTGGCTTCTAAGTCCCAACCCATAAGTGCATGTGAAGCGTGAGCAATGCAGATGCAGCACTGACAAGAGCACGAAGCACAGACCTGGTGGGACCATGGACTCAGCAGCGTCCAGTAACGTAGGTGGGAAAAGAAGAGGTAGAACAGAGTGAAGTAGAGAGAGTAACACTGTACGAGCAAGTTCCCTATACAAGGCATTACTGTACTTTCTTCCCCTAGCAAAGCCATTACCGTCTCTAGAGGAACCCTGTCTCTCCTTGCCCACTGCCTAAACCATCACCATGCTTCTCTTGCCTCCCCCAGTCCAGGCTCCCGGCTGGCTTCCCCCCAGGAAAGAGAAGCAGTAGAAGAGGTGCCCCGGGCACCAGAGAGCCCACAGGGACGGGTTACCTTGGAAGGTGGCCAGCAGGCTGTACACAACCAGGTAGCCCTCGGGGTTGTTGCAGAGCTGCAGAGACTCCGGGGTACAGCGGCCCCACCCGCAGGGCCCCTCCTCAAAGTCGGGATCGGAGGGGGCACAGGCACTAGAAGTGGCACTGGAGCTGGCGGAGTTCCAGGGGCGCTGCCGGCCGAGGCTGGGGCTGGGAGTCTCGAACGCCGCGTTCTCGATGCCGCCGCCGCTCATGGCGCCCGAAGCCGTTGCCACCCCCGGCTGCGAGCAGCACCCGCGCCCAACGCTCCCGCCGCTGAATAACCACGGGGGCAGGGCCGGACCGAGCGGAGAAGGGCAGGGCCGAGCCGGCCGGCACCGCCCCGCCGGGCAGGTGCTGGCACCTCCCCCGCCCGGCCCCGGCACTGCTCGGCCCCCTCGGCCGCTCCCGGAGGGAAATTCCCCCGCGCCGGTGGGTCGGTGTAAGCCGCCAAGAGAGGCGTGTTGTCCAGCGTCATTCGTTCTGTGCGGAGAAGAAAAGAAAAAAAAAAAAAAAGTCGTCACGAAAGTTTCTTTCTGGAAATCAAAAAAAAATAGTTCAAAATGTCCTTACGTAAGTGTTGCAAAAAGGGAAAGGTTGCAAAATGGACCAGATACGGTGCTTTCCCACTTCAGGCAACGTGACCCACCCACAGCAGAAGCCCTGGACATTTGTGGATGTCATCCTTTGAAAATACTTATTCCCTTCCAGTGAGCGTTTCCACATACAGCAGTTCCCAGTCATTGAACACATTAATTCAGCTGCAGACATCAACCATCAGAATTTGTCAAATGTATAAGAAAATCCAAGTTTGTTTGTATATAGTATAAATTATTTTACTCATCTGCACAAGAACAGTTGGGAGGGAATCTGGGGATCAATTAACTGTCACTGCTGGTGTTCATCTCTGGGCAGTGGAAGTTAGTCCTGAAAAGTCCTTCCCCTCTTAAGAGTCATTTACATTTTAGAGACAGGTGAAACAAGATTGAAACTAGAGATATTATCAGTGACCTTGGCTTCACAGTGAAAGCCAGGGCATCCTCTTCAATTCTCATCCATCTGCTCTTAGGAGAGAAGCACACATTTTCAAGTACTCATTAGCAGCACAGAAACAACATGGAGATGACCTTCTGTAAAAGATAACAAGTAACTTAGACAAGAGAATATGTGTCTGTTTATTCTTATAGATAAATTGCAAATGGGAAATCAGCTGCTTCTGATTCTTCTGACACATCTTGCAGAGGCAGTGGGTGATGGCTAGAGCTGGAGGGCCATGGAATCCCCTGGCAGCTGGGCGTTCCTCACGCTCCTCCTTGGGCACCACAGGGGCCCTTCCAGGTGCTACTCCATCCCCATGGAGAGCAGTGACCTTCCCAAGCCCACAGGAGCTCAGATAGCTGCTCTCCAGTGAAGCATTCATCTGCTGGTCACTGATGATGCCCAAACTCTGAAACTAGCTTATTATCATTTCAGGCTATAATCTGGAGTGGTTTTTCCTCTGCTGGTCATCAAGATATATCCCAGTTAACATCTTTGTGAGAGGTCTAAGGATGTGCCTGAGCCAGTTGGCACACTAGTCTGTTTCAGAAAGAATATTTTAGTAGAGTTTTCTTTTTTTGTTTGAATTTTATTGATTGGGTTTTTGTCCTCCTAATTAAAATAAAGTAGGACATGGCATTAGAAATGATACCCCGATCTTTGCTAGAGTACCTACATGCTAGAGTAGTAAGAATAATCCACAAAATTGCTAAATTACTATACTGCTAAGGATACCCGAAAACCTCCCTTTTTCTACCAGATCAGCTAGGTTTGTTGTTATCTTCATCTAGCTGTCAGCTGGTGGTTTTGGTTTTATCACCACAGGAAGGTGACAGGACAGAAGGGAAAAAGAGAAGTGAGTGGAGCTCACTGTGAAAAATAAAGTGTTCAGATAAAGCCAACATTTTTAAGAAAAGTGGGGAGGATAGCATTGCGGTGTCCAGTATAGGCCTAGTCTGAGAATTAAGTAGGGAATTGAATAATCCAGGAAATTCAATAGGAGTGAATTTATACCATGCTAGCAGAACACAGATTTTAGAAGAAAGCCAGAGGGACAGAGAGAGAGAGATAGGGAATAAAATATTATGTATTTTTGCAGTGGTTATGTCCCCAAAAGCAATTTACCGAAAAATGCAGTAGATTCAACCAGCTGTTATAAACTGCTTTACTCTGAGACCATACTTGAAGCTATTATAGAAGTTTAAGTTCCTGGCAATCCAAGACTGGTTACAAAATCTACCCAAAAATGGCAAAATATGATTGGTTCCAGGAAAGTATTTAGAATGCACTCGGCGCGGCCCGGCCTCAGCCTGGCCCCAGGACGTGTGCGCTTGGGCCCGGCTCCAGGCACAGAAAGGAGCGAGAGAGGAGGAGCTTCGCTGGTGCGGACTGTGCCATCGTGGGAGATGAAAGCGGGAGCCCGGAACACACAGAAGAGAAGGAAAACTCCAAACTCGGGCAGATGGAGCTCGACCAGCCCTGTAAGGCCATCCATCTAAGAGAAGGTCACTCTAATTAAACCTACATCCTGAGGACCTCGCTGCCACCGTCCAAGCTCACTCGGCCCTGGCAGATGAACCTTAGAATTAAAGGGTGGGTTCAGTTCAGCGTATACTGTCTCACCTAAAAACTCCATTGCGCAGGCTCAAAGGCCTTACACACATTTGCAAAACTCTGTATCGACATCTTCTACAAATGCAGTCACACAAAGATCAAAAGACAAAGGCATATACACCTGCCTCCAAAGGTGCAGCCAAATTAACTCTGGCATGCTGGAACATCAGCACCATGCTCAATTCTGCAGATAGTGGATGTCCTGAGTGCTGGTCTGCCCTGATTGCCCATGAACTATCACGTCTCAACATCGACATTGCTGCTCTCAGTGAAGTTCGCCTTCATGAGGAAGGCAGCCTCAGAGAACGTGGTGCTGGTTACACACTCTTTTGGTCAGGTAAACCCAGAACTGAAAAGTATCTCTGAGGAGTCGGCTTCATGATCAAAAACTCTATTGTTCCCAAACTCGAAAATCTGCCATCAGCTCATTCTGACCAAATTATCTCCCTACGCCTTCCACTCCACAACAAGCAACATGTTGTCCTCTTTAGTTTATATGCCCCAACTCTCCAAGCTGACCCTGCTGAAAAAGATAAATTTTACACTGACCTGCGCTGCCTTATCCAGAAGGTTCCTGTAGATGATAAGATCATTATCCTTGGTGATTTCAATGCCAGAGTAGGAAAGAATTTTGAAGCCTGGAAAGGAATACTAGGCAAGCATGGTGTTGGAAGCTGCAATGATAATGGTCGACTTCTGCTAGAATTCTGTGCAGAGCAACAGCTCACCATCACTAATACTATCTTTCAGCAGAAAAATAGTCTGAAGACAACATGGATGCATCCCAGATCCGAACATTGGCACCTCATTGATTATGTCTTGATGCGACGGACAGGTGTCCGCGATGTCCACCACACCCGTGTGATGTCCAGTGCAGAATGCCAAACAGACCATCGACTGGTGCACTGTAAACTTAACCTCATTCTTAAATTCAAACCTAAAAGGGGCAGTATCCCAAGGAGGAGATTTCAAGTTAACAATCTCCAATCAGCCACAGTGAGACACAAATTCCAGGCGAATCTTCAAACTAGGCTAGATAACCATTCCTCAGATTCTACAGATCCCTCTCCTGTAACACTCTGGCACCATATCAAAAACAGCATCCAGCAGTCCTCTGAAGAAACCTTAGGGTTCTCCCTCAAGAAGAACAAGGACTGGTTTGATGAAAACAGTCAAGAGAACCAGGAATTGTTGAGGAAGAAGAGAACCGCCTACTAAGCACACCTTGCACTGCCAGCCTGTCACGTAAGAAAAACAGCCTTTCATCTTGCATGCAGCAAGCTCCAACAGAAACTCCGTGACATCCAGATTAAGTGCTGGATCAGTCTAGCTGAAAAAACACAATTGTGTGCTGACACGGGTGATCACAGACGTTTCTATGAAGCCCTGAAAACAGCATATGGGCCTACATACCAAGCTCAAAGTCCTCTACTCAGCGCTGATGGTCAAACACTTCTGCAGATAAAACCTCCATTCTGAATCGATGGTCTGAACACTTTCAGACCCTTTTCAGTACCAACCGTGTAGTCCAAGACACAGCAAATCAGTCCATTACACAACAACTGGTGAAGTATGAATTGGATATTGCCCCCACTTTAGGAGAAACCCTCAAGGCCATACAGCAGGTGAAAATTGGCAAGGCAGCTGGGGTTGATGGAATGACACCTGAAGTTTGGAAACATGGGGGCCTTGCACTCCATGCTAAATTTCACGAGTTCTTACTCGTTGGGAACTAGGTGAACTACCATCAGACCTTCGTGATGCAGTCATCATTACCCTATATAAGAAGAAAGGAATTAAATCAGACTGTTCAAATTATCATGGTATTACTCTGCTCTCCTTTGCTGGCAAAATCCTGGCAAGAATACTCTTGAACAGACCATTACCTGCTATAGCAGAAGGAATTCTACCTGAAAGCCAATGTGGTTTCAGAGCCAACAGGAGCACCACAGACATGGTGTTTGTTCTCAGACAACTGCAAGAGAAGTGTAGGGAACAGAATAAAGGTCTCTATGTAACCTTTGTAGACCTCACCAAAGCTTTCGATACTGTGAGCAGGAAAGGTCTGTGGCAGATTTTGGAAGGTTTAGGTTGTCCCCCCAAGTTCCTTAAAATGATCATCTCACTCCATGAGGATCAGCACGGCCAAGTCAGATATGGCAATGCACTTTCTGAGCCCTTTCTAATAACTAATGGTGTGAAACAAGGCTGCGTTCTCGCTCCTACCCTATTCACAGTCTTTTTCAGCATGATGCTCCAAAGGGCCACAGCAGACCTCGATGATCAGGACAGTATCTACATCCGATGTCGTACTGATGGAAGCCTATTCAACCTAAGGCAACTGAAGGCCCACACTAAGACCTTAAACCATCTTGTCTGGGAGCTGCTCTATGCTGATGACGCCGCCCTTGTTGCTCACACAGAAGCAGCTCTGCAGCATTTAACACCCTGCTTTGCAGACGCTGCTGAGCTCTTTGGGCTGGAAGTCAGCTTAAAGAAGACAGAAGTTCTCTATCAACCAGCACCTCAGGAAGTCCCCCATCATCCCCATATCACCACTGGCGAATCAGTGCTCAAATCAGTCCAGCAGTTTAATTGCCTAGGTAGCCTCATCTCCTCGGATGGTAAGATTGACAAGGAGATAGACAACAGGTTAGCAAAGGCATATAGTGCTTTCGGAAAGCTTCATAAAAGAGTTTGGCAAAATAAACACTTGATGAGAAGTCCAAAGATCAGTGTTTACAGAGCCATAGTGCTGTCTACTCTCTTACATGGATCTGAATCATGGGTCATCTACCGCCGCCACCTGCGACTCCTAGAACGCTTCCATCAATGCTGCCTCCATTCAATCCTAAACATCCACTGGTCAGATTATGTGACCAATACATCTGTTCTAGAACAAGCAGCTGTCACAAGTATTGAGGCCATGTTGCTGAGAACACAGCTGCGTTGGGCAGGGCACGTCTCCAGGATGAAGGACCACCACCTCCCTAAGATCTTGCTTTATGGTGAACTTACCACCAGCTGCCGCATGAGAGGAGCCCAGGAGAGAAGATACAAGGACTCCCTGAAACATCTCAGCCTTCTCCACATTGATCACCATAACTGGTCTACTCTGGCCTCCAACCGGGAGGCCTGGAGACACACCATCTATAACGCTGCTGCTTCCTTTGAGAACACATGCAGGATCACTCTTGAGGAGAAAAGACAATGCAGAAAGAATTGTGCCTTGCAGAATTTACCACCTAAGGAGTCTTTCTGCTGTGCCTTTTGCAACCGGACATGTCTATCTCGTATTGGCCTTTTTAGCCACCAGCGTGCTTGTGTCAAACGTGGATAGAGAATTTTCCCTAATCTTTGTTCATGAACCCCAGCCATGATCTAGAGTGCTCAGATAAAAAGTGGTAATAGACTCTGAGGTGAATAATCTATTTGTCTAGACTGACAATGCTCATGAAAAGGGAAAAAATAGAAGCAATTTATGTGTATATTGCAATCAGAGATACCTGCTAAAGTTGTTATCCTCCATAGTGTGTGCCAGCTCCCCAGAAATCACTTTAAAGGAGAAAACATGCAGAAAGATTACTAGAGAAATTTGTTTTCCAAAAAGAATTGAAAGAAACCAACTGGTTCAATCTAGCAAAGTGAAGTGCTCTGTGAAATACACAACCAGGAAAGAGAAAAAAAAGGCAACAGAAGATTTGAGAACAAATGAGCAAACTGACATCAACTAATTTTCTGTTAAAGTTAGAAGGCTTTTAATTTTCAGTAGAGGTGTGTTGTGGAACCAGTTAATAATGGATTTAGTGAATTCTAAAGTTTTAGATGGGGTTATGACTGGGATAAAGACATGAGAACTGATTAACTAGGAAGTCCCTTTACAATCCAAAGTGTAAAGTGGGAATGGAAACTATATTCTAGGAGGGAAAAAAGGATGTTTAAGTCAAAAGAATATAATAAAATTAATACTGGAACACCTTGAGGAGACACTAACAAATATTAAAAAAAACATTGCTAAATTTGTGGAAGAATTCTAAAATTTAGCCATTGTCCTAGTTAGGACAGCTGAAACCAGTTCATCATCGTATGGGTGTAACCCAAAACTGTGTATTCTATAGCCTTCCATGCCATTTCCCAGAAATTGTTAGGCCTGTAGATGTTCCTGTCCTCGTACCCTTTTATGGAATTCCCCGCTCTGAGGGAAGGACTGAGCATTCCTGCCTGAACTGGAGAATATATAAACTTGGAGGTTTGGAACCTTTTTACCACTCGTGGGATCCAGAGGAAGACTGCAGCTCATCGCTCTCAACCAGACTGCAGCTCACCACCCTCAACTGGACTGCAATCACCACTTTTGACCAGATTGCAACAGCTCTCCCACCAGCAGGTTCTTTCCCCTCCCCCTTGACCTTGGGACTTCGGGGGGAGGGGGGGACCAAGAAACACCACTTTGTTCATGCCCCAGGGTGCTGGGTTATACATTTGGGTTTTGTGGGTTAAAACCAAATTGCTTGTCTGTATAATTGTACTTATTGTATTATTTTATTAAATTGTTATTCTGACTTATAATCTCTCTTTTGAGTTGAGTTCATTTCCCCTGCTGGTTAACTTTTAAACCAGCACAGCCATGTTCTAAATTTACAGTGTTTTATTTGATCAGTTACAGCTTCTGCAGTCTCACACATCATAGGAGTTCTGCTGTTGCATGGTATCATGGTGTGTCACATTTTTGTGATCATGGGAGTACTAGATAATACCTGTGGTTTTGCTTAAGAAATAGACCTGCATTTTGAAGTCTGAGAACTGCCATTCTCTGAATTTCGAAGGGGATTGAGAAAATTATGACAATAATGTCTTACCATCACATAAGGCAGATAGGGGAAAAAATGCATATTCAAAGTATTTTTTTTCAGGAATCTCACAGCTGTCCCCTCTCATATAGAGGTGAAGTAGTACACAGACCCACTCTCTCGTTGCAAAATTAGCTCCCAGAAACATGGCACAACATTTTGTCAGTACAATAATCCCTTTGACTCTCGCAGCTATAAAAAAAGATGCAAAGTTGATTACCTGAGATCCTTAGAACACAATTTCCAGGAAGCTTTTCAGTGTTTTCTGAATGTTTCAGACCTCAAGTACTTGCACAACTTTTTTTGTGATACCTTGACACTGTGAGTAAAATCCCTCATCTGTGGATTATTTCATGCCTATTGTGTAACCTCTCTCTCCACATAATTTTCTGTCATTTGACCTAGGTCAGAATTCATGCAAAGGAAGCTGTGAAAAAAGGGTGCTACCTTTTTTTTTTTTTTAAATGATGAATCTTCTTTTGCATCTGCATTTTTTTTTCCAATTAAGAAAATTGATCTTGATTTTTTTATACACTTTGTGGTATTTAAGATACATTAACACCTCTACCAAGTGTATTTGCCTGTTTTGAACAGGCATGTGGAATAAGTAATGTTAGTAACCAGAGAGAGTCAGAATAAAATACAAATGAGCCTGCCTCACTGGCTTGTAAAACCAGGAGTTTAATATATTAGTTATCTTTTCTCTTGACTATCTTCATTGTTTTATATTACTGGTACAATCTTAATCCCATTCCAGTCCTGATAATGTGTTTGTCCTGGAAACAATGTAAAACCTACATTTTGATTGCCTGTATGAAGTTTTCTACTTATTTATGTAAAAATTATCTGGTTTCATTTTCTTTTGAACACACTTATTATTTTAAAAGTAAACAAAGCAAACCTACAGCTATGTACTCTTCTGCTGTACGATCTAACTAACTCAAGGTACCTCCAAATTACATTGTATCTCAGAGCAATCGTGCAGCTTGTTTAGCATTTTGTATGTATGTAAATTATGATAATGTAGCTCTTAATTTGCCCTGTGTGTAATTCTGACACCAGTATAGGCCCAAAGAAGCAGTGTCAACTTTTCTCTTGTTTTGAATATGTGACAAAGGAGATACTTTCTTGAACAATTATCTTCATTAAGATATTAGTAATGGATCTGAATCTTATGTCATTTTCATTCTTGGGAAGGTATCATGGACTGAAATGTGTTTAAATGTATGCTCATTTGATTACTTGGTCAGTGAAAATAAAAGGATTAAACCAATATCCTACAATTAATTCCTATAGTTATTCCAATGATTTATTAAGCTGCCTAATGAATATGCCTCCATGTGGAAACTTCTGTTTTTGTCTCAATGCTGTGATCTTTTACTTTTAACCAAACCTCATCTGTCTTCTGTAAGCTTCATGGTTTTTGACCCATGAACATATTCGGAGCTAATGCGACAAATCCCTTACCAGAGCCATTGATTTTTCACACAGTAAGTTCCACAAATTTTTCCCTTCCCTTGGAATCTAATGGATAGATCAATAGAGAAGAACTAATGATTTTATTTCTTTTCAAAAACACTAGTTTCAGTGTTGTCTAGAGCTGGGCAGTCTCTTCTCTTTTATTTCTGCCCAGTTCCCATTTTCAACAAAAACCAAATGAAACTGGATCTGCATCATAGCTTGTTTCATCAGGAAATACATGGCCTCTAGTGGCAGGCACTTAGTAACGCTTTTTGATATACAGTAAATTCTGCATATACAGAGTTATAGTTACTATTAACTTTTCCTCTTTACTAACAGAAGGTATGGCTGAAAATGTTCATCTAGGAATTCTCTCCCTTTGAGCTTTTAAAAAACATCCTTGACAGAAATATGTACAGAAAGAAAAGTGCTAGTATGTTATAAATTCCACTGCAAAAGAAGTCCAATCAAGATTAAAGCTGTACAGTCAATATAGTTAGTGTTTCAAAAATGGGTGAAAAAAATTCGTATCATTGTAGGATTTGAGTTGTATTGCAATACTTGATGTCTCTGCTCTTAAAAACTGATACATTCATTTTCTCATGAATCTCATATTTTTCTAAGAAAAGGATGTTTTCAGTTTTGGGAAAGTCTTTTTTTTTTTTTAAGGAATGTATCAATAGATATGACATTCTTTGTAATTTTAGGGATCATGATTGTATGGGGTTTGTCAAAGTTTTGCAAATTATAGCCACACAGTGCTTTAGCCTCTTACTAACTAGTTATTTCTGTCAAGATGTCAGTTATGTATTCAAATAAATACACAAATTCTGACTTTGTTGCTTTAATTTTCAGAAGTGTCTTAATGTCAAATATCTCTAACTGTTCTAGCCTTTTACAGGAAAAGTTTAACATTAAGTGTAAAAAAGCTGCAATTACACAA